CTGTAATAATTAGATTTGATGGTAAGTTGAAATATCTTTGTGCAGCACTGAATTTGAAAGAAATTCCATACGATATAAAACCAGTGAGCTTGATCAAGGGTGGAGGAGAACAGCATTCCAATGAATTTCGTGAAATTAATCCAATGGAGCAGGTGCCTGCACTTCACATTGACAATCATACCCTAATAGAGTCTGTGAGTGCTTTCAGTAATTGTATGTGGTTACTTGTTAATAAAAAATGATAGACAATATTGCATACATATTTGTTACAGTTGAATATTCTACAATATTTGGAGGAGACCAGACCACATCGACCTTTGATGCCTGCAGATCCAGTGAAAAGAGCCAGGGTCAGAGAGATTTGTGAAGTAATTGCAAGTGGCATTCAACCACTGCAGAATCTAGTTGTATTGATATACGTTGGAGAGGAACGTAAGAAAGAATGGGCACAACATTGGATTACCAGAGGATTGACAGGTAGTGATAGAAACGAATAAATAGTTAGGAGCTAGTGACAGTATGGGAATTACCAAAATTATTCCGTTTCAGCTGTAGAGAAATTATTATCATCGAGTGCAGGAAAGTACTGTGTAGGGGATGAAATTACATTAGCAGACTGCTGCTTGATACCACAGATATTTAATGCAAGGAGGTTTCTTGTTGATCTCAGACCATTCCCTACAATTTTAAGGGTAGATCGACATTTAGAGAATCATCCAGCGTTTACCGCTGCTCACCCAAATAATCAGCCTGATTGCCCTCCAGAGGCGACCAAGTAGCAAGCAAGGCAGACCACCCTCTTTCTCTTCTAAGATTTTAGAAGTAAGAAAGGAGGTGGTCCAAATTTGGTAGTTCCGTAGTGACAAAAGGTGGTGCAAATTTATTTTTATTCAACTAATAACATAAGCTTTTTTTCTTATTAGAATCTGATAATAATTAGCATCTATATATTTTTTGAAAATTAAAGATGCAATTTTTTTTAGTAATTGCGTTACACGTTCGGAAGATCATTAAACATATTATCCGATGTTAATCATGATTTGAAATATTTTCTGGATTGTGATATACGAGATGAATACACCTTTTATCACTTACGAACTACACACTTAGGTACTGAAATGGTAAACAGTGTAGAGTAGAATATTCAACTCTATAACTTTCAATTATAAAATTAAAACCACGCACCTCTGCCATCTATTCCATAACGAGGGAGAACACTGTTCCATTTCCGTACTTACTCAGATGATAGGAATGTTGGCCTATTTTTAATTTTGTTATGTTTTTCCATTGGTTCGTACGCACAATCAAAATTACCGTGAAAATTCGTCTTCGTACAGTACTTACGCATTACTTTGTAAAGTGTATCGACCTATTATAAATAGGTTCTGTTGTCTGAAATCAAAAGTTTACTTTTTATACTTACGATAATATAATTTTTCGATTACTTTAGCTTACATAGACTAAGGAAGAAGTGTTGCTATTAAATAATACTAGATAATAACTGGACATTCTTTACCGAGTGTATAATGTAGCAGATCTGAACATCGTGGCGTGGCGCGCGTACCCGCGTACACTGACCGAAACAAGAAAAAGGAAACGTGCAAATAAGGGAATGCAATCTGCTCAAAAAAAAGAAAGAAAAAAGAAACTCCATACAAAATACTGAGGAATGAAGAGTACAAATGAAATTCCTTTTCTAAAACTTCTATTCGTTCTGTACGTTTCATTTTTCCCCTGATAAAATTATGTCAGTCCATGAGTAAGCGTTACTAGATATACTAGATACAATGTAACTTTCGATTCTACGAGTATTTTTTAGCTCGAGAAGATAAACGAAGGTGTGCTCGACGTTGACGCCCATCAAAGATCTCGTACCGCGTACCTTAATCTGTTAACCGGCTGATATTTTTCTTTTACGATAGATATTTATACGTACATAATTAAAGATAAAACAAACAAACAAAAAAATAATAACTACTTACTAAATGGTAGCTACTTAGGTATTAAATTGTTTAATCTTTTAGGCAAACGAATGAGAAACAGATTGCCATAGGATGATGTACAATTGCACGCGCACGGTTAACAGTTTAATGGAAGACAATAATACCTCCGATGCATTCCATACGATCTCCATACGCCGACTAAACGGAAAATGATTGAAAGAAAGCGACGACTCAAGTTTCCACTCGGAAAAGTTCTCCTCCGAGTGTATTCGTCTTTCAATCTTGAGCACACTTTGTATAATTTCTACTGTATCATTTGCGAGACGTAATCTTATATAGAGATACAATTTTTTATCGTATCGTCTGTAATTGTATAACGTCTATATATTTTGTAGTTTTATACACAGAGCTAATACGTTTTATGCGTGACAAAGATGACTGAATTGCGGTATCAGGCGTTGTCAATGATTTGATCTATTGACACTGTTCCTTATTGCCGGGTTCCTTCTTGCCATTATTATTCCCGCGAAAGCGAATACTCGACTCGTTAACCTGTTAACTGGCTGATGATCTCGTTCGGACCCCTTAAGATTTTGCTCTGTATATACATTTTAAAATGGCGACAAATATTCGAACGGAAATGTAGCGTTGCACATGTCGCTACAGAAATTTCTATCGAGTTTCATGATTATGCGCATTGACCTGTATTTTAGCAACATTAACCCCTCGCCATACAATGACGAGTTAGGCTCGCGATGATTTCTAGATTAATTTAACTGAAATCAATGTCGTTCATTGGCCACGGATCAAAACAGAAGATTCTGTTACTATTATCAATGTATTGTCTTCAAATTAAACTTCCGCTTAAAGTAGAATGGACAATTTTGTTGGTTTTCTTCCAAATTGTCGATAGTGAAATGTTACGCGAGCTCAGCGGAGAAAGTGAATAATACGTGAAGGGGTTGAAGTTAACAATTGAACGCCGCACGACTTCATAGAACAATATACACAGAATGGAAGAAATATAACATCAAATCGTTGAATTGAATTATTTTGAATTGTTTCGAATTAATTGAACTTAATTAATTCTCAGACAATAATCGTTCAATCGAGTGAACTATAGTAATTCGATTTGATCGGGGTCATCGGTGACCGCGGCATTCAACGTGTTAACCTATATTTTGTCAACATCGAAGTTAACCCCTTGACCTATGATTTCCTCCTCGACTCTGATCGATACGACTACTTTGTCATTAATAATTCACTGGAAAGGAAGACAAATTCTAACCACACGCTTGTATTTCCCTCGAATTATAATAGTTAATAATAATAATAATAATCAATAATATTCACTTCGAATCCGAACGAACCGAGTAATATATACATTTATCGAATCACGTTGAAAATCAAGGGGTTGACCCTTTGCACTCTAGTTATTCGCTGGAAGCATTTGAACATTTCTGACGAAAACGCGATGTTTTCTGAAACTAACTCGAATCACGAGCAACAAAGCTACTTCATTTCAATGTCTCCTAAATTGATGCATCGTACGCAGTATAATTCACATTATATAATCAGTATAATTACATTAAACATGAAGTTTCACAGTTTTACTGTATGAAATGTGCGCCTCTCGAGTGCAAAGGGTTATACTCGAACACCGAGCCGACACTTAAGGGGTGAAACAAAAGCGAAACCGACTCGACGAACATTTACCGGTGCGAATGCAACGTAGTGCATTCTAACTAAAAATATTATACAGTAGAACGTAAGAGTAACACGTCGAGCGTGCAACCAGCAGCCGCCGAGAGGCGAACGCGAGCGAGTCGGTTCGCGCCGGTGAACAGGTTGCCGAGAAAACCGTATCTACCCGAATCGAACGTTTCGACGGCGGCCCTTCTTGTAATTCGATCACTTACAATGTTCTTTACTCACTGTTCGTTTAACGTTCTTCGTTGGGAACCACACGAGGAATACCGTACCGTAGTGGGTGATAAGCGGAGGGGTATTTGTTTGCATGCTTCTTCGACTAGGCGGCTAGGAATTGTTATAATTTATAACTATATACGACGGAGAAGAGAGATGACAGAGAGTTATACATTTCATACGTAGATGTGTGTATCGTACAAGTGGGGCGATTAGATAATAATGTATATATAATTTTTATACAAGACGTTCGAACGAGTGCACTGTCGCGTGCAGAGTTGAGCCGCGCCGATCGAAACGGCCGTCCGTGCCACCGCCGACGTCGACGAACAGCGATCTCGCACGTCATGCACACACACACGGTGTACAGTTCGAATAGGGGGGCAACAAGGAAGGAATGCAAACAAGTAGACACCCTTCGATCGTAATCGCACGGAACCAGATTAATTCGTTCACACGCCGGTACCCGCTAGGCGTGGCGTAGCTTCGCGTAGCGTAGAGATCATAATGCTTGATTCGTTGCGACCCAATGACTACACGACCAGCCGGGAACTCTTCGTTTTCTTTTCATAGATGTCGTGAGATATTCGTTATTCTCTTGTAATATCGAGCGCAACGAGAAATGGATAATTTCCAGGGAACGTTGACGACTCGGGTCTAGGAATCCCAGAACTCGCGGAAGACCGTCGATCATCGGTCACACGAATTCTCCATTTCTCTGCACAACGCGAGTTTCGTTTCCGATGGAGTGCCGACGGCTTACTTTCGGCGTACACGCCGCTTCCTTCTTGCTATCGGCTTGAAGACACACGAAAGCCCGACGGGAACATACTTGGAAGTAAAGATCTAGCGGAGTAGCTAAGCTGGCGGGACCGTCAGAGCTTCGGTCCCATGGCTGACAAACGAGAAACTGTAATGATGCGCGGACCAGGGCTTTTTTAACACGTTGAAGAGTTCAGAGCGTTTTGTTACGGTATTTGTTCCTTCGTAACAGAGGGAAGTAGCGTTAGAAGTGATCATTAACCCTTTGCACTCGGGACGTGATGATTTCCTATAGTGAAGCTATAAAGTTTGATATTTAACATTACACTTCATACGCATCAGAAATATTCGCGTAAAATAGCTTTGTCCGTCAATTCACGTGAATTTCTCGTCGAGTTGGTTTTACAAAATATCGTGTCCGTCTCGTCAGAAAATGTTGAAATATTTCCAGTGAAAAATTTCGGAAGTTTCTTGCTAGAAATATTTCACGATTTCTCATGAGTACATGAACAAAGCTGTTTTATTCCAATCTATCAAGTTCAAAGTTCAATATTAAATATTTTATAGTTTTGTGTCAAATCGAGTGGCAAAGGGTTAACGTTTTGGTATAACGGTACTCATGTTACACTGTTAGCTTCTCGTGTTACTATTTTCGTTCAATATCAATTTTCTTGTTTCCAAGCAATTTGGAAGTGACCACCGGTGGCCACAGTGGCAGTCAACGTGTTCAATTGCTCACTTTCCTACGGTCTGAACAATTTCTGAAACTATGGAGACAGTCCTGGCCTTGAGGAGGACTTCGAGTAGCTGAGAAACGAGGTTTCGTTTATGGTTTCGCTGCAGTTTCTACTTCGGTATGTCTTTACCATTGTACAGGTGTGCCACGCGAACGGGAACGTTTCAGTGTCATTGTTTAACACTGGGTTTACGGGACGCGTCAATTTGACGCAGATTGAATTTTATAAACATTATTTGGTGAATGTTTTGATCTGATTGATTTCTACATCTACAATTTCCAAAATCTAAAACGAATATCAACTTCCCCAGGAACAATAGAATAAACTGTACAATAAATGCCCGTAAACCTAGCGTCAACACGTTCGCTATCATTATTCCGGAATCATCCTCGATTCTAATATTTCCTTCGATCCAACGAATCTAAGCGAAATATTAGACAAATGAAACTGAAACGAGTCATTGAGTTCCTAAATACGATGTCGTAGTTTATCATTTCTAATAACAACACCTATAGGAATCATTCTCATTGTGTAAAATATATCTTATTATTCGATCCTCACATCGAACAAACCCGAACGATGCAAGGACTAAGGATTAACCCCTTGACCTACAATATCGTGTCGCACTCGTAACGAAGATTTCAAACTGAATTTGGAAAATCTAAGTATTATTTATTTCTTTTAAATATAACTTGAATATTACTTTTCTTTTATCAATCGTTAAACCTCAGGGCAGACATAGTATTATTTATTTCTTTGTTAACCCTTTGCACTCGAGAATATTTTTCTCAACGTTCATTATTTTCTGAAATATCAATATGTTTTACAACTAATACGAAGAAATACCTTGCATAAATTAACAGAACTATTTTCGATGTGTTGCATTATATAAAAATTTAATATTCTAAATTTCATCATTTTCATGGGTCGAACAGCGACTGAAAAAGGTTAACTTGAATATTTCTTTTCTATTATCAATCGTGAAACTTAAGTAAACGACATAGAATATCGAAATCCTTTCTTTCCGAATAAATCTTCAAGATAAAATGATCGCATCGATCGCAGTTAAAAAATAAACCATAGGGCAAGGGGTTAAACCGTTCGCTCGTTCATCTAGGAACGACAGAATCACTTAGGCGTTCCTGTTTGCGTGGTCGGTCCTGCACACAATGGAAACTGGTTTATGGGACACCGAATCGAGAACGGAAAATGAGATATTACTTTCCGTGTATGTCCGTCAGGCTATGGGCAACAAGGGACAGCCATTCTTTTCGAAGTTCGTTTACCGACGGTCCTAAGTAGAGTTTAATTAGGTAGTGGCGCGTACCGTTCGTAAATGGACGCGCGGTGAAACCGCCTCCGTAGAGAAAGCGAGATCCGATTATGTATAATAATTAACAGACACGAAGCGACACACGAATGGATACACTGAACGGAAACAGAAAACAGACCGAATACGAATATAAATACGCATAGATATTTTGTAAGTGAAAAATTGAATTATGTACGTTCGCTGCTTACGAGGAATAATAAATTCTGTGTCATAGTGTACGTATGGTTATATCTGGACCGTGGGATTTTATTCGGATCTCTTCGGATGTTATCGGATAAATATGGAATAACGATAGAAAATGATTGTTCGTAATGGGAATTATAAAAAGCATGATACTTTATGTTGCTATCGTTTATTTCTCTGTGTCAGGTGGATGTTGTCGAACGTTATTAATCTCTAATTACCCCGTGAACGCATAAAAATCCGCAGTCCAGTTATATCGATTAATTAATTAACTTTACGAATGCGATGCTGACACGTCGACGGTACATTCATCGCTTACAGTTGTCACGAACAGGCTCGCGACCGGTTCCAACTCGGCCGAAGCACAATGAGAACGTGAAATACAATCTTTCGCGTCGATTTCTTGCGTCAGTCTAGCTCGTCGCTGTTGCCAGAATTAACCCTTTGCACTCGAAGCTTTTCCGCTGGAAATATTCAACGTTTTTCTGTGGAACGAGGACGACATACTTTGAGATTAACGCTGGAACTACCGATTTAATGCGATTAACCCTTTGCACTCGAAAGCTTTTCAATGGAAATGTACGATATTCTACGATGAGATACAGACGATGTTCTTTGAAATTAATTAATGGGGAAACATATGTACATTAAGAAGGAAAGTTATTTTATTTCAATATTCCACGTATTGATGCATCATACAAAGCTTAATATTATATATAAGACTTTATAATTTTGCAAATCAAAACAAGTGGTGACTGAGAGTCACTGAGAGTCAAAGGTTAACCCCTTGCACTCGAAAGTTTGTCAATGGAAATGTTCGACGCTTTTTGACGAGATATAGGTGATATTGTTTGAAACTGATTTAACGATAATTCAGATACATTAAGCAACAAAGGTGTTTTATTTCGATATTTCACGTAACAATGCGAAGTTTCGTTTGAAATATCAAATATTCAACTTTATAGTTTCGTTGTATCGAGTCAAGCGGTGACTGAGAGTCGCCTCTCGAGTGCAAAGGGTTAATACGCAATTCCTGTGAAAATTGTAGCAATAGATTATTTTCAGTTTCTTCAGACATTCGTTATAGTACTGAAATGAAACTATTTATGTTCAAAATCATTTCGAATATTCGATGCTTCGAAGATATCAATAATTGCTAAACGAAAAAATCGAAACCAGTCGTATCGACTGGTACGGTAGTTCTAGTGTTAAAGTGACTTTCGCGAATTTCTTTATAAAAACCGTAGGCATTTATTGAGATTTCAATTGAGTTGCATTTCAGTTTTTCTATAATGAATCAGTTGTTCTAATTAGTTTCCGTAGAAGTATCTGTACCTTTCCAGTCGTTGTAAAAGAGGAGATCAGAAATATGTCATGACTCATCTGGTAGTTCTAGTGTTAAGTAATGAGAGAACATGTTTAAATGGAGAATCGAAGCTATTTTATTTTGATATTTCACGTTTGATATAATATAGAAAGCTTAAATTATATATGACGATCTATAATTTTGTTACATCAAATCAAGCGATGACCAAGAGCCGCCGTTTTGTTTGATACAGTAAAACTACAAACTTTCATGTTCAATATTAAAGTCCATTTAACCTAATCATCCATGGAATATTAAAATAGAATAATTCCATCCCTTAATTTCTATATTATTTATATTAACCCTAATCGGACCACGATGCGACTTTGAGTGACATTTGAACTTTTTACTGAAATTTTTTCATTATTTCATATAGCATTTCCAATAATTTTCTTGGGCTTTTAACCCTTTGCGGACGAAGCTTCTTTGAAATATAGAAAATCGTCAGCAGATGTAGCTAAATTATATATCGGTTGCTTAGATAATTCGAAAAGGGAAACTACGTTCTGATCTCCAGCTGTTTCAGTAATTAAATCGTTTGTTCGCGACTCAGTATTGCAAGCATGAACATCTGATCTCGAAATGTCGACGTTCGTCCGCAAAGGTTTAAAATTTCGGCCCTATAAACAAAAACAACATCGTTCCTTTTATCCTCGCAAGTGACCGAGAGTCATGTGGCACGATTACGGTTAAGATTAATCATAAAGCATCATTGATATTTCGAGTGCAAAGTGTTAATCCCAGGGAAACGAAGTCTCGAGAGAGATTTCGTATCATTTGCAATGAAAAGAAACTTCAGCAATGGATGCTCGAAACGGAAAAGCTTGTCTTTCCGACGAGAAAAGAAACTGTCCGGATGTCCGAGAGGGTTTCAAGCGTTCCGAATCCGACGTCGATGTACAAAATGAAACCGGAATCATGGGTGGACCGAGCACAGAGAAAACAGAGAATGAAAATAAGCGTGAAACTGAAATTAAAATGCAACTTACCCGGGCAACAGAAGTTCGGCACGGTTTCCGGCCATGGAGCGTTTCGAATTTTCGAACT